GGGCCCGGAGAAGAGGATCGCAGAGGTGAGGCCCCCTCTGCCCGAGATAACTGAGGACACCGAGGCCCCGTGGGACTGGCGAGCTACGAGTTTGTTCCTTCTCTTCTCTCTCACGGATACGAAACCGAGAATCTAGGACTCGGCGTGTATACGCGGCATGCACGTATACATATAGACCCCGGCTATGGTCGAGAGGCATGCACGTCGTGCACGAGGCATGCTCCTCTCGTTCTTCCTCGTGCACCACGTTTTCTATAAGGGCGCCGTGCCCAGTTGCATCATTGTGGTGCAAGCTAGGCGGTACAGGTCGTTTCATCTGTACTTTAAACGAGACGCGTTGTTCTCCCTAACGATTTGTGTACCTTTCATCGTACCACGTTATGTTTATGTTCTACACGCTCTCCGTAATAGCTCATTGTTTGTATACAATGATAGCAAGGATATGGATATTACCTTAACCATAGGCAGACGGGAGGGATAAAGTTCATTTTTAACGGGAACAATCGCGGATAAAACAATTCTTCTCTGTCTGTGTTTACGAATCGGACAACGATCGTGTCTACAAATGTGTTTTTCGAAACATCGCCTTTTAACGTTTCGTGCAAAACTTTGGAATTAAACGATATAATAAGTTCCTTCTTAGACTGGCAAATCGTAATATTATCAGGTTTTCAAATTCGCGCGCTTTGCGTTGCTCTTGTAACCGATTACTATGGTAACAAACAATTTTTTATTTAATAATAGAAAAAGTTAATTTTTAAGTGGATAATAAAAATTGACTATAGCAATATCTTGATATGATATACAATGAAATTCTTATGAAAAAAAGTTATTTAATAATAGAATAATTTTCACATATCCAATGAAAATTATATTTAATTTTATAATATAAATTGACTATAGCAATATCTTGAAATGATATACAATGAAATTTTTTATTAAGTTTTTGGATGTGTTACTGTTGGTTGATGAAATAATAATTTACGAGATCACAATTATACATTCACAAGACATTATATATAGTAAATTTTTTAAGAACTTCGCTTCTTAACAGTTACTCAACTAACGTAACTTCACAGGCTTTACTAAGTACGTTTGTTTCGATAGAAATTAAGTGGAAAAATGGATAATAAAAAAATTCACTATCATCACTCAATGTCTGTATGAAAAAAGTTATTTGACTTTAATTGGAACGTTCTACCTCGCCCACCGTATTCTTCTGATCTTGCTCCATCTGATTTCAACCTGTTTCTTTTACTAAAACATTTTCTTCGTCACAAAACATTCAAATCCTTCGTAGAGCTTAAAAATCACCTGGATTTATTTTTCAGAACCAAAGGACCTTCTTTTTGGAATTATGCAGTTACCCGAAAGATGGGCCAAGGTCATTGAACAAAACGGTGCATATTTGATTTGATAAAGTTGTACTAATATCGACTATATAATTCGATAATGATTAGACTGCATTTATAATATATAATGCATTTAATATGTAAAAATATAACAAAAACTCAAGTAAGATAAGAATTATTGTATTTAGGGGTTGAAAGAATCCTCTACGAAGCTCTTATTTTATTAATTTTATTAATAAATATATGAATTTGCATAAAAATCCGCAATCTAATAAGAAACGGACTAATAAAAAACGGAGTATTTTTGGATCTACACACCTTCGATTAACTTTCGAAATTACGAGACCAGATGTACTGTAAGGGGAAAATATTCTGGAAAAAATTGCAAGTCGTATCGTGACTAACATTTTAATAAACTTTTGCAAATCCACGTAGTCTATCAGGAGTAACAAGATAAAAACGTAAACGTAAATCTCACTTGCGTCGATAAAATAGAGCAGGTAATCGCTACCTGCTGGATCATTTGTTGATTTTAGATCAGTTTCTAATGTGATGTGACACGTGTCGTACCGCTAATTATTCTTCTCATTACTTGTTACAAATAAAAAAATAATACACTGTGCAGTAAAAACCTCAACATCAACAATGCTCGTGCATGTAATTCATAATCGATCTTTTTATCACCCTGCAATAGATCGTATTTGCACAATTCACCTTGCACGGTGTTCGATTTGCGCGAAAAGCTCCGGTATGAATTAACTGTGTAAATCAAGAACTTACTGCACAGCGAAAACAAAAGGAATACCAGTATTCCATTAGCTATTACGTAAGAACACGATGTTCGAACGGATCTCCTTCTCCTCAAACAAACCTCAGCGACCGGGCTGTGAGAATAGCCACAGGACCCCGCGAAGCCCCGAGAAACAATTTACGAGTGGAACCCTCTGAACAAATACATCGAGTAATCCGACCAGCCCTCCTGTTATTTCAGGTACCCCCTGACCCCAAATGACCCTGGCCATATTTTTTCTCGATCGATCGGATTATCGCGGGCCGTATATCAAAAGGATTTTAGCGATCCGCGTTTCTTTTACCGCCCACGGTCCTTGTGTTTCTCTTCCCTGTCCGTTGTCGAATAAAACGCAGAGGAACGAAGGGTCACGATTAAGCAGCTACCGTCTACTATAGCGTACGCTTTCGTTAACGACGCCGCAACGCAGCGGTCTTTTCCGATGCAACCGAGGGCTACGAAAGAAAGTAAAAAGGACGAGCCTACGCCGGCGACCTCGTTCTCCGCCGCCCTATCCTTCCTCATATTCTCCGGCGAAATTGCCCAGGGTAGCCGACGGAAGGCCCAACTATAGACTTTTTGAGGTTAACCGCATCGCAGTACGGCTTTTAATGGTCAAAGCCACGAAAGCTGCTCGTATTTTAAGCCACCGCTCATCGCGATCCGGGGTAAATTCTTTCATCGTCGATTAACTTCAAAAACAGAACACCGCGCGACCGCTAACGAACCCCGTGTAATTATAAATTTCTTTTAGACCCGCGAGAACACCCCGTCAAACGAGCACGAGCATTTCCTGAAATGGTTTACAAGCGGATGGGATGCAGCGGATGACAAGAATTTCCACGAAGCAACGCGCGCGCCGTGCCATTTTTTTTTTTTTATTTCCACGCACGTGTATACGGAGCTGCAACGGCGTACACGTACATCGGGAACAGCCGTGCTCGGGTATTGATCAGAAGTCGACGAGATTCGAGCGTTGTATCAACAGTAATTGAATTTCAGCGTTGCACACTGTCAATCAATTATATTCGGGAACGGGGGGGGGGGGAAAAAAAAGAAATATACGCCGGGGCGCGGTATTCGCTAAATATATAATCTGACGAGCGCGGTCGCGCAAACAGTGCCTGCTATTTGTCGTCATTCGATTCGAAAGTAATTGCACCGTTAACCAGAAATGAATTCCCGCGTAGCCATGCTCCGAGCTAGATTTTCTTTCGACGATAATCGCAGAAAAACTGGTAAGAATAACTGTAAATCGAGGAGGTAGTACGCGATCTACGTTACTATGTACGAAATGAACAGAAGAAATTTTAATGGGAGATTCTAGAGAGCAAAATAAGACGAAAATCAAGAATACCATTTTGTTGATTGAGGCTTCGTTAAAAAGTTATTAACGTTTGAAGTTGCGTCTGTAAAACGGCAATCTGCGTACTCCACATGCGGAACTTTAAACGTTAATAACTTTTTAACGAAGCCTCAATCAACAAAATGGTATTCTTGATTTTCGTCTTATTTTGCTCTCTAGAATCTCCCATTAAAATTTTTCCCAGAGGTGGTCTAGAAGTAACTTCTAGAAGTAATCGTGTGAGCCATTGTGGAAGTAATAAAGTAATCTGTAATACATAATCCGTTAAACGTGTAAAATAAAAATTTTACCATGAAAAATACACACCGTCAGCGGAGCGTTTAAACGGAACGACGCAACTAATCGAGAATCCCCATAACTGTGGCTCATAAATATTTAGAAATGTAAATAATTGGAAATCGTGTAACTACCGCGCGAATACCGAGCAGTGCACGGTACTTTCAAAGACGTTGCAAACATTAAATTACACGGGTAATTCTCGCACGGTGCGTATCGGGATGGTCACCGTAAGTAATGATATGTGTTCATGATCCATAAAATCGTAATACAGTGCTGAACCATGCGCGGTTAAGCGTAACATAGAATTTTCCCGTAACAACGATACCTATATATATGGTATGTGCATGGTCGTGCACACGCGTCACTATCCATAATCACGGGAAAGTATCAACGATAAGTCGCGGAAGAAAGAAACAAAAATAGTTTGCAACGAAAAGCGGCGACGTAATTAACGGGATCGACTGCGAGAAACTGAGGTCGCCTTTATCCTTTGCCGACGGCCGTAGTCGACGATCGAAGAAAAGGACAACGAATGAGAAAAAAAGTCATTGTCTTTTATACAAATCGTCGCCAGTATCTCACCTATCGTTTTTTAAATGTCTTTCACACTTCACTGGCTCCAAGGGAGATAGAAATGGTCAACTGACGAATCACGTCTGAGGTTCATTATAAGAATCATGTAAATACAGGATGTGTACGTGAAAAATTGAATCGAAAATGTGGAATAAAATTTTTTCATATAGGACTCTTTATTTTTGAAAAAAATAAGTTTGAGAATTTGTCACCTCTATTCTTATTCGTAAACGTTGTCTATGGATCGATGAACAGATTTCCAGAATTCGTCTAAATTATGAACTGTTGGAAGTGATGTCCACGTTGTTGCAAACATAACTGTGATCTCCTTATTAAATTGCATCGAACGATTTCTAATGTATTGTTGTGCAATTTTAATTGTTCAAACGCTATAATAATTTATTGTTTTAATCACTGTAGATAATCACTGAAGCTAAATCAAGTACACGCGTACTCGACAAATTTTCAAAAAGAGATATGAAAAAAGTTTATTCTATATTTTCGATTGAATTTTTTTACGTAGAATCACTCCCTGCTCCCTACACCCTGTATAACGATTCGCGATTGATAAGGCAAAGAGAAGTAGCCCGAAGGGCACGAATACGCGGGAAAAGAAAAGAATTAATGGAATGTGACTCACCTAACCGGCAACGTTGCAACGCCGAGGAGAAATTGGCTTGACAACGATGAAGTCACAATTTTGGACGACGGGGCCAGGGGGTAGGGGGGGCAAAATAAGTCTCACACGCCCCCCCAATGTCGTTTTGGACCCCCCGTCCTCGATGATACTCGTTCGCAACGTGCTCCGTTCAGAGCACACGCACTCTCTCGCCACGCACCACGGTCCACTCACAGTTGCCGCTAATTCTCTATCCTTCACCACTCTTCCTTTTCCTGGATCTTCTTTCTCTTTATTATTTCGCTCTCGCTCGTCTCCTCCTTATTTCCCTCGTCTCGTTCCTCTTAGCGAGATTTACCTCTTTCTTCGCTCTTCTCTCAACGGTTTAATCGATAGACACTCGTGAGAGTCTGTTAATCCGTTACACTGAGAGCGAGCACTGGTCATCAGGGGTCGAAGAAACGTGCGACGAAGAACGATAACATCGTTCGTGACCCTCCCGCGATAGGATACGTTTACCCCCACTCTCGATCACGGAACGCCGGTTGTCACTCTATCCTTTGCACACTGCGAATAACGCGACAGTACGCGTAACCCTTTCCGCGCGTTGTTCTATCTGTCCTATCTATCTCTATCTACCTATCTACCTATCTATCCATCTAGCTATCTCGCTCCCTCTCGCGTCCTCGGTGCTCTCAGACGCGCAGAATCATCGTACACGCCTGTTCGATTCCTCCGTATATACTTGGTACGCGTCTTCCACGGGTTTGCGTTAGCGCGGCTAGCGAAGTGGTTCTAACCGCCGTCGTGGTACTTATGACTGATCCTTCTTTTTGCCGTTACGAAGTGGAAACAGGCTCGTCGATCCGGAAGGGAGAGATGTCTGCTGAGTTCCGGCACGAGGTCGGCCTATCGTTGTACGTACCTAAAAACCATTTACGATCGATCAGAGGCTTCCACGATACACCACCGACGATCGACGAGTTGTAAACTGAATCGAGAGGTTGGAAGGAGAGACAGAGGGATTGCCTAACGTGCCACGAAACTACGGAGAGCCAGTATGGCGCCGTTCTTCGTTTATCTCTTTCTCTAACCCCTTTCACTCTTTCACGCACACACGCAGACACTCATTTCTCCTCTTTCTTTCCTTTACGACCGTCCGTTCCTTTCTCTTTCCCCCTATTTTCTTCGCTCGCTTCTTCGCACCGTCTCATTCTCCGTTACCGTTCACGCATCTGTGCCCCGTCTCTCACTCTAGCGAGCTCCCTTTCCTCCGACCTCGCGATTTCGAGTTAACCACGCGCATACGTTCGACACTCGACTGTCACTCCGCGCACGAGATTCTCCGATTTGCCTGAAACGAGATACCGTCAGACCGATTCAAAATTCCACTGTCGAAGACAAATTCACTGCTGGCAAAACATTCCGTTTTACTCGTATTCTTAACAGGTGAGTGAAAAAACGATACACTCGGACGTACGAACAACAAACCGCCGCGATACGACACACGATGCACTTCGAACGAAAAGTCGGGAAAGAGACAGAGACGGACACATAGAAAACATAGCTCTTGCGACACAAAACACACTGGACATACTCTGATCGACGCGCGCTTACCACTATTTCCTTCGCCGTTTTATTTTCTTTCGCGTGGCTGTCTCTTCGATGGCCAAGACGCGACGAGATATACACTCGCGGAGAAAAGTCACCGAAGGAGCCACAGCCCATAAACAGCACCACCGTCCGTCGTGTCAGGGCGCTCCGGTTCGTCGCCACTGCCGGGTGCATACCCGGTGGTTCTTCACCGCCTCGGCGCTAAAATGGCGATCGAAGTGACAGCTCTCGCCTCCTCCTCGCCGGGTTCGGTCGAGCAGCCGCTCTTTCGGCTATAGTAGCACGCATCGACTATACTTTCTCTCTTTCTCTTCCACTCTCCCTATTCTTTAGTTTTCATTCGCCTGAATCTCTCTACGTTTACTCTTTCCATCCTTCTATCTTCACTCTCTCTCTCTCTCTCTCTCTCTTTCCCCCCTCTTTCTCTTTCTCTCTATCATACACACATACACACTCTCATAACACGCGGCACAAGAGGATAAGGAGCTGTTTAGTTATTTTGGACAATGAAATGGAGCACGGTGTGGGCCGATTCGATGCGTACCACGCGAAACTGACGAATACTCGTAGACGCACAGACACTGAGAAGCTTTTCGATGGCGGCTCGAAATCTCAGTCCCGGACGACGCCTACACCACCACCACGTACCACCTTAATAGCTGTGCTTGCCCGGACTCACGGGACTCGACTGGGCTCCGCCAGGCCACGATATCCCCGCCGCACTTGCGCCAACCGGCTATTGCTCCTACCCTTCGCGAGGATGTACTAACCGTTCCTCGTTCTTACGCCCACCCCCAGCGCAGTTCTATTACCCGTGCAGACTAACTGAACCCCTGCGGAGCTCCCACGCCCGCGAAACAGCCAATGCTGGAGCCTCTTGCCAGGACCGTCCAACCATTTACATGGGCGTCAAACCGGTGAATACATTTCGCGTTCGTTAATAAATGTTACGCTTCGCAACAAATACCGAAAAAAACACCCGTATTTTATTCATTATCGTTAAGGTCGTTGATACCGATGCGAAAAGAAGTATATTTCCGTACGATAAAGATCAATTGTTAAAATTTGATCGATATGTAACCCTATAAAACGAATATCTAAATTTTATAGCAATTCCGTAATATTACTAAAAATATTTACGAATTCTTTAATTAAAGAGTTACAGGTATGTAAAACCAAAGGTATTCGATAATGACGGATGAAAAGTATTCGCAAAGCAAGGGCTCTGATTCGTGTACGTACGGGTCTAGCTATCGCCCCGTTGAGTCGTGTTGTGACTGGGTAAACGAACGAAATACTCTAATGGTCTACGTTTGTCTGTTTCCACTTGTCGGTTCTTCGCAACCCGTGAAACAAATGACCGATAATATTTTAAGCTTTATTCTTCTAAATGTCATGCTATCTTAAGAAATACTAGAGCTAATTGATACACGTGTAAATCTGCATGTCCGTAATAATAAAAAGAATAAAACAAAGAAAACGTCCATATATGTAAATACATATTTTTTCTACCAAGATCCTCACGAGTGAAAGATGTGACAAAAACGTGGAACGAAACTGAACTACAGAGAGAGAGAGAGGTGGTACACGTGGAAAGGGAATCGTGTTGATCGTTTGACGAAGGTTGTTTGGAATTCCAAACATTTTATATTATAGGACGCGTCATGTATTTTCAATATTACTTAAATTACTTCATTTGGTCATCTGGCGAATGTACCTCTTTTGACAACGGAACAGAGAACACTTACAAGTTACAAAGGATCAGTTACAGTTACAAAGAACTAGATTTGCAAGAGCCCTTACGAACCATTGTTACAATTACTGTTAACACATTTATTTGTTAATAAATAAACGCGATTGTAAATAGTTATTATATCTATTTGCTGCGTAAATCGGCTCCACGAGTCTTTGTGGGAGCCAACAAAGGTATTCGCGAGTATGAGACTCTCCTATGCCGGTATTGGCCGTTCAAATTTTTCTGCGTCTCTTTGATGTTACCGGCTTTGCTCCTCGACCGGCTCGTATCCGTCCCACGGACATCGGTCACGTCACGTAAAGGACCCACCTTAGCGTTGATTTCTCGTCGCGGGAGACCGTTCAACGACTATCAACGACGCAATTAAACCAGGAAGTCTGATCCTTAGAATATACTGTCGACGAGTGAAACGTATACTTCGCCGAACCGGGCTCGCATGATATGCATAATTAATTACTTTACAGTAGAACTTAACGATTTAATGTGAACATAACGTTGCAAACTTATTACCGTTTATTTCTCCTGTTATTTTTTACGACACACCGTGGGCAATTTAAACGATCCAGATGGACAAATTTCTTAAGAAACATGTTCATGAATTTTTGGTCGCTATTTGTTTTTTATACTTATTTATGGTTTTTTTATAATAATAATAATAATCGTGAATTTTTTGTCACTATCTGTTTTTTTTATACATATTTACGGATTTTAATAATAATTATTATTATTATTATGGTGATGATGATGACGATGTAGGGCCCAAATTTTTCGACGAAAAAACAAATTTCAAACCGTTACAAAAAAATTATTTTCGGATGCAGGGGTCAATTACAACCATTTTTTATCATTACACCTACCCCAGAAATCCTACGCACTTTCGAGAAAAAAATTCGAATAGGTAGACAAATTTTTCGGTGAAATTAAAATATTTCGAATCATTCTGGAAAAATTATTTTTGGTTACGGGGGCCAATTACAATCATTTTTTGTGAATACACATACCCGCGAAATCCTACGTACTTTTGTGAAAAAAATTTTTTACCGAAAATATACTGTGTGGCCGGAAATGTTTCTATAACTTTTTAAGGAAGCCTCAAACAACAAATTAGTATCCCTGATTTTCGTCTTATTTTGGCTTCTAGAATCTCCCATTAATATTTTCATTTTGTCCTCCTAGATCTATGAAATTAGTCACTGCACATGACATTCTTACGCAAAAAAATATTTTACAAACGAGACAATTTTACTGAACGATCGATCAGAAGAGTTGCACAAATAAGCGATATCTGTTTAAAATGATATCCTACGGAGTTGTGACAATTGCGATAAACGATAGACGTAGTTTTCGATTTTGTGCTTATAGCCACGTTTAACTCGATTCCGATACCACCGACAGCCGGAGATCAAAGTTCGATCCCGTCGATTTTGGGAGGTCCAATCGGGACGTAAAATATCAAGCCGTGCGAACCGTAATTGAATCTGTAACAGCAACCAAATCAACGCGACGGCCAATCATTACATTATACGAATCACTCGGTGGTGATCGGCATTCGTTAGTCAATCGTTCGTATAATTGTTGGGTTACAGTTCCCGGTTAAGCTGCAGCTTTGTAGTTGAAAGCATCAGATAAACGCACAGCGCTAACGGGCGAGAACGGCACGTTGAAACGAAAGAAACACGATCGTTATTCGCCAGGTAACACGTCAGAAGTAAACCTCACGAGATCTATAAAAAGTGTGAAAATTAACGGTATCTATGCAAGCTACGAATCGGTACACGTTTCAAGATCAACTTCCAGTTTTCTTTAAAACAAAACGTTTATACTCTATACAGGCGAAGTCATTCAAGATCACACACGCGTATCGCTATTTTTGGCAACAGATACTTATTTAATCTTCAACCTGTTGTCAAGCAGCACGTTTAAAATTAATTCGTTACGTATTTGTAACCTTGAAATGACAGACATTTTCAACCACTAACTCTTCTCCATAAAATTCTAATGACCATACCACGTCTAACTATAACAAATACAATATACGAGGTGTGTAAATTAAGTAACGAGACTGGCAACGTAGCATTCGATCTGTCAACATTTGGGACTCATTACTTAATTTACACACTTCATATTTTCTGAAATATACAACTATAGTAAAAAAAAAAACACTTGGCTGCTATCCCCAATGTGCAAATGCAATGCAAGCAAAAAGTGCGACTTGTCGACAGACAATCATGCATCTAATACATAGACGCGCGAAGATTACAGAGATTAGAGTCGTCCCACAGGTTGGGAGCGCCGGGAATGTAAAGTTGTTGCTTTGTTGTCTCGGTAAACAGTAGGAAAGCGGTGGAAATTAGTCGTTCGGTTAGGGCCAGTGCCAGGAGTGGCACCGCGATAATTAGGTTTCACTTGGTTCGCTTTAATAATCCAGACAACATGCAAAGTGCATTGCCGGGATCCTTGCATCCGTGAAAGCATAGCGGAGCGTCTCGTGTGCGTGTCCAACATTACCATTACCTAACGCTGGCTTGGCCGCGACTGGTGGGTGACAAATTTTGCAAGGACAGCCGGAATTATTAATGCCTTTTCCGCGGAGAGGCCCCGAGACGAGGCGCGAAATTAGCAAGCCCGAAAGCGGTACACGGTGCGCTACAAGCGAATTCCAATCGAGATAATGAAAATTAACGACGTTAAAGCGACGTCACGCTCGTAATTAATTATCGTGGCCCGTTTGCTCGTTGTCGATCGGCTCTTGGCACGCCCGGACCCTTCCCACAGGGGGAGCCATAATCGCGATATCAATCCTTCATTAATTCCTCACCGAAGGACGCCACGTCGAAACTCTTCTACACAACGCCGCGATTAATTCCTCAAGACGCTTTATATATCTATATATGCATGAACCACCGGGTCTATGAATTATACATCACGTCGCCGGCACCCTCGCTGCGAAGTTTCTTGCGGTGGATGATCGTTCTTGCACTCACCGAGAGAGATAAGACAAATAAACTCCGCTCTTAATAAACGCGACCTTTGAAATCTAACTGCGAATTTTTACTCGGTAAAGAACATCCGGAAACTGGGAGATCGATTGTTCATTAAATTCTAGAGGTTAGTTTAACAGCTGGCCACGTAATTGGCCCCGTTCTGTTATAACTATCGAGGCTCGTATATCAAACTGTTTAGGCAAACCGAACCGAGTGTAATAAACTTCCTTATCTCGTTTACCCTTTGTCGGATTTTCGCGTCTCTCTTTTCCAACGTACCATCCACTATGCTGGAATTTTACTCTCCTGATAATGTGAAATCGCATCCTCCGCGGCTCACGCGTCACGTCAGAGACCGAATTATGCTAAAATGCACTGCATTGATTTCAATGCACAAACACTTGCGTAAAAATGTCCCAAAATTTTCATTTAGAAATAATTTGAATAACCTCTGGGCCAATTTTATTCTCACATGTTTACAATCGCATAGTGCCGATAGTAAACAAAACAAGAATACACGTTCCCTTTTTTTAAATACGAACTGAACAGACATTAACCTTGTTTTTATTTTTTTTTTTGTTTTTTTATATAACGAATATATAACGAATACTTTTGCTGAAATTTCAAATCGTGCATTCTACATCTGGTATGTGGAAGTGTCGACTGCAAGGAAACACGTGTGAGACACGTGTACAGGGCCACTTGTAAAAAGAAAAGCCTCTTGAGAAGCAGGGATCAATATCGAAGATTTTGAAACTGATAAATATTTGCGTAACTTGTTAACATTTTCCAATTGATCAAAAAACTATATAAATTCAATGGTAATAAAGGTTTCTAATGTTGCATTTAATCGCCATATTTAAAAAATTCTATAGAAAAAATATTACAATTAACACAATTATGAATAAATTATAGGCTAAAACAAATATTTCATTATTTGCATAATCGCTTCAATTTGTAAAATGCAGACTCTGACATAATTACATCCATGATTAAGTATTGTGGATCCTCTGAGTCAGGTTCTGCATTTGTAACTGTTGTTTCCTTGTACAACCATGTGGCGACTGTACCACCGACTTGTACTCTAATACGTTTTGATATTAAATTGGCAGCACTCAAAATTTCATTCTCTATTTTCAATCGTAACAGATCAATGCCTGTCAATTTAACAGCAGAGACAGGAAATGTATCCTCTGGTATGTCCTCTTTTTCATCCGTATCCTTCCTAGCAATATCACATTTATTAGCAACATTAATTACTAACTTACTTTCATCTAGCATTGGTTGTATTGTTTGTTTAACATGTTGAATTTGTGCTTTCACATCAGGATGACTCATGTCATAGACATGAATTATAATATCCTACAAAGAATTAAACAAATTAGCAGGGAATTCTTCAAATGTTTTAAAATAAATAATAAACAATATAATTAACATACTGCATTTATAGCATCTTCTAACGTTACTATAAATGGTTCTATTAAAGTTTCTGGCACATCCTGAATGAACCCAATAGTATCGACGTACAGTACTTTTAACTTATTGGGGAGAAATCCTTGATGAACTGTTGTGTCTAAGGTAGCAAATAATTTATTTTCAGGTTTCAACGACGCATCTCCCGTTAATGCTTTTATCAGCGATGTTTTCCCAGCATTTGTATAACCAACTACAGCAATACTTGGGAAACCATAACTACGTCTTTGACTTTTTATCATTTTCCTGTGTTCGCTTAACTTCTTAAGTGTATTTCGTAATTTCTTTTCCCTACTTTCAAGCAATTTCTTTCTTTTTTCATCTAAATTTATTCGCCCGCCGTGACAATTAGATAAATCAATCATTTTCTTTCTTATATATGGAATTTCAGCTAAGGCTACTTGTAATTTTGCTTCTGTAGTCTTTGCATGTTCACGAAAAATATGAATAACTATAGAGTAACGATCATAAATTGGCAAATTAAAAGCTTTTTGTAACTCAAGAATTTGTACAAACTTCAATAAATTTGTGCTAACAAATATTGCTGTAACATTTGCACAGTTTCTAATATCCTTTTTCAAAGTCTCAAGAGAACCTTTACCAACTAACTTTTTCTTTTCCAAAGTTAATAAGGGTACAATTTTAGCATCAACTACAGACCATCTTGGTAAAGTGTTAATAAGTGCTACTGCTTCGTTCAATTGTAATTCTGGTGTAGTTTCTCTTTTCTTATTAACGCCCCATTTTATATAAGGCTGTAAAACGAATACTCTATGCCCAAGCGCAGCTGACCCTAAATAATCTTCAGACAATTGTGAATAAATATCCTTTTCCTCTTCACTTTCTTCGTAGCCTTTTAATTCTATATTAGAGTCGTGTTTAAATCGAAAGTCAAAATTTAATACTGTACATTCTTTCTTTCTGTATATTGGTTTCACTGCATTATAATATTGAGACTTAATTTGTATAACACAAAAGAGTTTCTTTAGGCACTGCATCATTGAATAATTTATATGATGTCATAACCTTACAATTATAAATCAAGTAATAATTTGAGTTTAATCTTTAAAAGGAATAATTTTAAATTATCAATATTGTAACTATGTTATAATATTTTTCTATAAATTACGGTATAAATAAAATATTACTCATACGAAAGTATTAATTTCTCGAATTGTATACGTCCATAACCTTAAAAAATACATTGCACTTGTATGATGTATTAAATTAAAGCATTGAATACTATATTAAAAAATTACTTTGTATTGTAATAGTCAATATTCGCTATACAACAATTGTAAATTTTTCTCGACGTTGTGTCGTAATTGTATAAATTCATTTGTAAACAAGAAGCAAGTAGTTATATAAACTTCAGAAATAGAATTAATTATAAGAATAATAACACTACGAGAAGTATTACAAAATAATCCTAATCGTTCTTGAAATCTTATTTTAAACAGTTTCATATATTCTGTATTTTATAATACATTTATTCACGCACGCCAATTTCCAGATCGACACGATTTCGTAAATCCGTACAGATTCCTACCACGTGACTAATTCAGCTTATCAGAAAACTGACAAGGCATTAGTGAACCAGTCTTTAGAACTGCGAATTGCAACTGTCAAAGATCAAACGTCAAATTTAATTTAATTGTTTATAAAAATGGAACCAGGAATATTAACGAAAGTTTTGTCCGACTTTTTCACAACTGTCGATGGAGAATTAAGTTTACAAAAAGGGGAATACTTTGTGGTAATTTTACACGTATATGCTATGTAAACATTTTCATATAACCCTATGAAAAATAAATACGAAATTATGTCTATAATCATTGTAAAATTGAAACAGGTACATAGTGTCATAGATAAACACTGGTGTTATGGAGAATCTCGTGGCAGGTCAGGAAAATTCCCTTCAAGTCATTTACATAAAGTAGATATACCGAAACTGCATGATTCGGAAACTTTGTTTGTTTCAATTGCTGCTTTTCCAGGGCAGCAGGATGGAGATTTATCTTTTAAGCAAGGTAATTTGTTTCAATGTTTACAAAATACCTAATTTAAAGTAAAGAGTTTGTTTTAAACTGTATATCGTAAAACTAGGTGAAATTATTATTGGAGTTCGAGATATTGGATCCGGATGGTATTTTGGACAAATAGATTCCCTAAAGGGTATTTTTCCTTTGACACATACATGGCAACTTGATTCTAAATTATTAAAGGTATGCTTTGTAAACGCTGTTTATTCTGAAACTAAAAGAATCTATTTGAAATCAGAGATAATAAATCTTTTATTGGTTTAGAAAACTTTAGAGAAAAAAGCTGTCAGAAAAAGGGCTAGAATAAAAACTAGTTTAAAAGCACAACTTGAAGGTGAACTTAATTTAGCTGAAGGGGAAATAGTTACTGTCACAGAAATTCTTAATGACGGTTGGTGTCGTGGTTTGACAGAAGATAATAAGGAAGGAATATTTCCAGAAGGATTTGTAACTTATATAAGTGATACAGATGATCAAGCAGATCATACCACCCCTGTGGAAGACATAAATTCCTTTCCTACACCAACAACTTACAATGAAATGATATACAAAAATATTGATGAAACAATTATACAATCTTCTATTGAAGAACCTGCACCAAATTATTTTGATCTATTTCCTGAATATAAAGTAACTGTATCAGCTCCGATAGAAGACACTACAAAGAATAGCAATTTCAATACATTGGATGTAAAACCATATGCCATAACTTTATACCCATTTAGTGCTCAGTTTCCGAACGAACTTAGTTTCGGAGCAGAGGAAGTAATACATCTCATTAAACATATAGATTCAGAATGGATAGAGGGTATGATAGATAACCATAAAGGCATTTTTCCTATATCGTATGTTAACATTATAGTAGACTGCATCGAAAATAATGGTGAACAAAGTTTTGTTAACCAAGATGCAAGTACTACGGAATACAATGAATTAATGCCTGGAGCTCAAGTAAAAGTGGAGCACACATTTAAAGCTCAAATGGATGGAGATATGAGTGTTATCGAAGGTGATATAGTTACAGTGATCAATATGGCAAATTCTGACTGGGTCAATGTCAAAGATCAGTCTGGTAAAATTGGTTTATGTCCAAGAGGATACCTAAGTTCCTTAGATGCAGAATTATTCGATGTTGCGCAAAACGTACTCGAAGATTTTGTTGTAATACGACACAACGAAGCGAGTTCTGTGAGAACAGAAGAACAAAAGTCAAAAAGACGTTCAGAACCGCACAGACCCGCGCCGCCCGTGCCAGCACCTGGTAGAATCCCATTACAAAAAGATACAGCGGACAATAAAGAAACTTTAGAAAACATTAATCAACAAATTGATGTTGCCGGAAGTAATAATATAGATGTTAAACAAAAAAAGGCAGATCAAAGGCAAAATGTCATATCAGAATTAGTTCTTACAGAAAAGGAATATGTCCGTGACTTAAACTTAACATACGAAACATTTAATTTGTATAATCCAAGTTCACTTGAATCTCTGGGAATAGATGTGGTTACCCTATTTGGTAATATCTTTGATGTTATTCAAGTTGCTGACGAATTGCTAGATATGATATTAAAAGCAATGAAAGGACACGACGAAGAATTACAAACAATTGGGCCCTGTTTTATAAACATGTCTGAAAAATTAAAAAATGTCTATGTTAAATATTGCAGCAATCATGAAGCTGCATTGGTTTTGTTGAAGAAGGTTATATTTTATATACGTGATTTATATAAAATGTGTGTCCTATACATTCTATATATATTCTTACATTTTATGATTTCAGTATGAAAATAATGAAGAAATAATGACAGTATTCAACAAAGGTATTGAAACATTAAGGTATCAAGTAGCTTGTTTCGATATGAGCTCCATTCTTATAAAACCAGTACAAAGAATATTGAAATATCCTCTTATTTTATATGAATTGGTAAAGGTCAGTATTACGTGTATGTATATTTTATGGTATTGTAATGTATCAACTTGCGCGCGTGTGAATATGTGTGTACACTATGATCTTTTTTGAAATCATATAGCTGTTTTTTAGTGTACCGAAGACAACCATCCTGATAAACCTGTAGTCGAGGAAGCATGGAAGACTATGACAGCAGTTGCAAGTCACATAAATGAGTATAAACGTCGGAAAGATTTGGTGACGAAGTATTTGGGCAATGATAACACATTAATGAGTAAAATGTCTAAACTTAATATGCATTCTGTTGCTAAAATGTCTACAAGATTAAGCACACGATTGTCTGCAAGTTTAGGATTAACGAATGTTGCGGTTGATTCAGAATTTGAAGAACTCGAAAAACAGTTTAGATCTATAGAGAAATGTACTTTACAATTAGCTAAAGATGTAGAACAATGTCTTATGTATTTAAGCGACGAAGCTATTTCTGGAGAAGTAATAGCAGATTTCTTGATTAAGTACTATCAAGGAACACCAAATATTGAAGCAAACAAACTTAGGGAGATACGATCCACAATTTGGTCGCAATTCATTCAAGAATTAAAAGCGTGTTTGAAGAATAGAGTCAGTGCACCAATAAATTTTTTGGCAATGTTGTTAGAAGGACCTGCAATGTTAATAACGAAAAGACATGACAAATTACTCGACTATGATGCAGCCATTTCTAAGAGTGAGAAATATAAAGAATCAAGAATTGTAATTATATTATATTAAACTACTTTTCTCTTAATGCTAAGTAAATTCTAAAACGTTCTAATTGTTTGCATACAATTAATATAGGCACAGGATGAATTGACAACAACAAAAAGTAATTACGAAGCATTAACGCAGCAATTGTTAGAAGAATTGCCAATTCTGATTAATGCAGCAACTGAAGTATTAGTTAATTGTATTGGTGCTTTTGCACAAGCTCGGAAACTTTTATGCGGAAAGATTACCAAGCGTTATCTAACCTTTTGTGAGGTATTCTACATAACACACTTTGATAGTGGTAGCGAACGTGTTAATAGGAAAATAACTAACTTTCCTCTTTACTTTTAGGCTTCGACTCAACTGTCGTCTCAAGATATTTTAGAATCATTTTTAGTTAATCACAGCTTATTGTGGAATCAGATAACACGGTTTGCGTTTGCCGGGTCAAACCCAAGAATAGAAGAAGCAGAACCCGCATGTCCGCAAAGTGAACGGCAAAGAATGAAATTGAGAAACAAATATTCTAGTGACAAGTTATACATTGTTACAGACAATATAGTAAGCACCACATCTTTGGATATGGGTGCAGTACGTGGAACCTTAGTTGCGGTAATAAAGAAACAAGATCCTATGGGTGATACGAGTAGGTGGTTTGTAGATAATGGAGTTACCCAAGGATTTTTGCCGGCTAAAATGTTACATTTGCAACAACAACCGCAAAGTACATCATCTGATGAAATTAGCGCTACAAATAAATTGTCTAATACATCAATGCCTGATTTAATTTGCATGGATTCTCCTGTGAAAGAGCAGGGGAGTGTAGCTCAATTGCATTTGCAAGAGTTACTTGATCTCGATATCAGTGAAAAAGTAAAAAAGGAGATCCACTGCTATGGCAACGTCGAACAAATTCCTAGAGTTCAACAATATCAAAATCTGAATTATGAAGTATATAACAATATATTATGTATTATAAAGTTATTGTCAAAAGATACTTCATAGTTTAAAATTGCAATCTTTTTTTTAGTTTTATTATGCGGAATATGATTTTTTGGAAAATATTCTTGGAACATTGTCTATTGTTAAAGGACAAGCTTTAAGACTGGTTAGACCGCACGATGAAAAGGGAAACGACGAATGGTGGCTCATGGAAGATCGTTATGGTAATAAAGGATATGTACCTAAGAACTATTTACGCGAACCGCCTGTGGCAAAGCAGTAAAATCAAAAACATTAATGTCTTCGCTTATTAATACATCGATATCTTCGTCTATTATCTTAAGTATTCACATTATTGCCTTAATCTGTTACGTCGATAATATTGGTACCTTAATCAATTATATTACTAACGTTGATACCTTAATTCATACAATTTTATATTGTAATAAATTTGTTTAATCAATATTCCAAATGTTTATTAGTATCGAATATTAGTAAGTATATTTTTACAATTAAGAGTAAAGATGTTTTGTCAACTGTAATTTTTTAGAAACATATTATTGTACAATGATTCTTGCTTATATGTTTTAGACTTAAATGTATGTCCGAATAATTTATTTGTACATACACATACACAAAGGCAAAAAGTATATATTACAACTTCGTCTGCTAAGGAAATGTATTACTTCTGTGATAATATTAGTATGTTTCAATGTGAATGTACTTGTAATTTTGTTATAATTTAAATATATTGTTACTATTTGAACGTGTGTTATTTATTAATTAATTTAATAAATAATACCTCGCTACAATTTCAACAGTATTTTTTTAATTGATATTTATACATAAATATAAATGAAGAGATATATTTGATATTTATGTAAATTATATAGGATTTGGAAAATTTCCCCGCAACCAAAAATATGTTTTTTAGAACGATTTGAAATTTTTTAATTTTGTCGTAAAAATCCAGCTACTCGAATTTTTTTCTCGAAAGTGCGTAGGATTTCGGGGGTATGTGTATTCACCAAAATTGATTGTAATTAACCCCTTGAAGTAAAAATAATTTTTTCAGAACGATTTGAAATTTTTTAATTTTGTCGAGAAATTTATCCACTTGTTGAATTTTTTTCTCGAAACTGGTTAAGATTTCGGAGGTGTGTCTGTCCACCAAAAATTATTATAATTGACCCCCGGAACCAAAAATATTTTTTTTTAAACGATTTGAAATTTTTTAATTTTGTCGAAAAAATACAGCTACTCGAATTTTTTTCTCAAAAGTGCGTAGGATTTCGAGGGTATGTGTACTCACCAAAAATGATTGTAATTGTCCCCCGCAACCGAAAATAATTTTTCCAGAACGATTTGAAACTTTTCAATTTCACTCATATACAATAAATATAACCGACACGAAACGAAGAAATACGACAAGATATTTTCTTCTTCGTGTCTTCGTCACTCCCACGATGTTTTCCTGAAACAAAAACTCATATCCAATAAAATATATAACTCATATAAAACAAATAAATATGAAAAAATATTTCTTCTTGGTGTCTTGATTAATCCCACGATGTTTCCCTGAAACATAAATCAGACAATAAATAAAACTGTACAAAGAAACTAACTACATCAAGCTACTTCAAACTACAATAGAGTGGCACATATGGGGATGAAGTTAGACGTTTTAAATATCGCAACACTACGGGGCAACAACGCGATAAATCAACAATCGCAACGCTAATTTATAATAGAACAAATTCCAAACGCGACTTGTAAGAATAAAAGCAACCCGCGAATGGTAATTATTCGCAACACTACCCTGAAAAGCAAACGCGAAAAATAGTAATTCGCAACTCTAATTCGCAATCGCGTTTATCAAAAATTCGCAACGCTATTTTTAAGGCAAACGACCGGTTCCTAAGTTTGCATAAAAGAAACGCGAATCGTGTTTATGAGCAACACTAATATATCAACGCGATAAATATTTGTTCGCAACTCTACGAGCAAACGCGAACATTGTATATTATTCGCAACTCTAACTTTAATCAGGGGCTATTGGTACATGTACGTAGACATGTACTGGCCACAAAATAAACTAACTACTGCTAGTACTACAATTGGGGTAGAATTTGGGCATTGAAAATATCGCAACGCTAAATAAAAAATCGCACGATTGATCGAGATCGCAACGCTAATTTATGAAATGAAAATTACAAACGCGGTTGATGTCCATTATGTATATAAAAGAGTAAAAAAGCAACGCGAATCGTGATTGTTCGCAACACTACCCTGAAAAGGAAACGCGAAAAATAGTATTTCGCAACTCTACGAGCAATCACGTTTATCGATAATTCGCAACGCTATTTTTAAGCAAACATTCGGTACCTAAGTTTGCAAAAAACCAATCGCGTATCGTGTCAAGGCGCAACACTACCCTGAAAAGGAAACGCGAAAAACAGTGATTCGCAACTCTATGTATATCATAACCGCGAGTTATGGGGAGAGATGGCATGTATGGTGCAATCATGTACCATCAGGTACATGCATACGTGAGCGAGTCAGAAAAATAAACTAACTACAACTACAGACGAGTTAAGTGACAAAGTAGTAACAGGAATGACTTTCCATTCTCATCCGAGGATGAAGATGAAAAGCCATTTGTTGCAGCCCGCTCTTGAGACAGTTTGTCAGAGCCTCTTCAGCTCATATAGAGCCTTTTCTTTCTTCGGCGGTCCTGCCAATGCCTGAAACTTACTTAAGACAGGGCTCGAGATTTTGTGCAATACGTAGTCTTCCAACAATATACGAATTGTTGCAAGAGCATACGTGGTGAATCTCGAGGGGAACGAACGTTTCGAAAGGGACCTAATCCCGACCGCGAGCGCGAGAGAGCGACTTTAAGAGTCGCGCGATTCGAGGAGTCGAAAATAAAGCCGAAACAAACAGCACAAGTGCACCGTTTGAATCAGCAACATTTCTACTCTCGAAATCGTAACTACAGGAACAGAACTGCCACGCGAAAACGCGCCTACCCGAATTACTAATGTGGACAGTCCTGCCCTGACCCTACCTACTTAGGTTTAAACACACACACCAGAGAATAAGTTACCTACCTACCTAACCCTATATTTAAAAAATTGCAAAACTCAGTCTCTCAAACAAACACTCCACGGTTCTCATTCTCAATGTCCGGGCGCGACCTAAACTAGAGAGGACTCCCCGGGGGTTCCTCCGACACCCGGACACAACCTCATTCATACTCTAAATGTACGTACCATTTTCTGGAATCGACTGACAAAGCTAGTGCCCATTGCGTACTTTTATTATTTATGTAAAACATTTTAACATATCTAATATAGTCTTTATTAAAATATACTCTATGTATGATTATATAAGATTGAAAATTCATTATGCATTTTACGATATTATCGACGTGTATGCAATACGAACAATTGCCAAGTAAATAATAATTATAAGTTTAATATTATTATTGTGATTGTTATGAATCTAATGTCAAAAAATTCTGTATCTGAATTGCGATGAACTTTTGATACGATGCACTTCCACAACCTAACCACAAACACACATATGTGGACAGTACATCGTGCACGAGACACTAGCATTGTCAGTCGCACGGATAAATTATTATTATAAATGTTACAAACTAAGTCATCGTGCCCCGTTGCCTTCGCTCGTGCAAATAACACTTGGGCATGTGCATGAACTTAGGCAACGAACACGGGAATGTACCCTGAAAATCCTGACTAAAACAACTGGTTATTAATAATTAACTAAACGGTATCTATTCTCAGTTAAAATGACTCGACTTGTTATATGTAATATATCAACAACAGAGTACGTTAATATCGAAAGATATTATTATTCAAGAAAAATTTGTAATTGAAATTTAATGGTTCAAAATGTAAGACTTTAATAAAGATTTCATGATAAAATAATTTACTTTGCAAATTGAAATAAATTTGTTAAATTATTATTCAAAATATTCAATTAACCTTGGACGATTCTGTCGTCAAAGTAAATTTAAAAAAAAATAAAATTAACATGCATGTTCCTTTGAGTTGAAAATCGACCAGTCGCGAAACGCCTTCTTGCACATAAAATACATCATATGATGTATTAATTGATAAAACGAATATTTAATAATTATATTAATGATGTAAGATATTTTACTCAATCATACGATTAATATAATGTTTTCACATTATATTAATTCATATTCTACTCAATTATTTAATTCATATAAAGATAAGAAACATATTTCATATATTTTATCAAAATTGTGTAATATTTATTGATAACATTAAAAAACGCGAGTGCAAGAAGACCCTAGCCTGCACTAAAAAAATATAACTCACGGGTATTTTTCATACCCGCGGTCACTTAACTCGTCAAAAATACCAAGTATACAACTGGTCACCCGTGTTGATTCGGATATTTCATCCTACAACATGGTCGGGGACCAGAGGAAACAAAATAGCATGCGACTCACCAACTGTAGAATTCAAGCACCCGGGCGACGATGTTGCCTAGTAGGAGTCATCGGCGAAGTCATCAGCGACGTTAGAAACGAAGTCAGCATCAAGGTCAGCAGCGAGATCATCGTCGAGTTTCTCTGGATCCACAAGTACGATGATGAGATGTCAGGATACTTTAGAAGGAAAGAGTAAATGTTTTTACGAAAGGTTTCTACCGTATTTGAAAACTTGATGGCAAATTTAAATCAAACAATTTTTTTTAAGCGTACTCGGAACAAAATACGAAGAATACTTACATTTTTTGCACGTGGGCATCGCCAAATACTCTTTTTCGTATAGATACAGGTTTCCTGTCGAAACGTGTTCACAAACTCTCAAAGCAGTATGGCGTCGCGTCGATAGCGTGACCGTAGTTTGGCGGCAGTTGAGAGTCTCATGTGGTTGAATTGTAATTTCGAGCTGCCACAGAAATAAAACACAAATTTGTTAACAGACACTTATTAATATTGGATAAATGCATCGATGGATAATGACGAAAAGAAGAGAACCGGTTAGAAATGAAAAATACGTTTGACCGTAGTTGAGCGTCCCGTGTTTGAATTGTAATTACGGGCTCTTACAGAAATAAAACACAAATTTGTTAATATGCACTTCTTAATATTGTATAATTGCATCGATGGAGAATGACGAGGAGAATAGAAATGGTTAAAAATAAAAAATAAGTACCTAATTCGTCGCGAAGCTGTCAACGCACTTCTCACACCACTTTCCACACGAAGAATGACGAACAGGATCGGACACGTCTCCCGCGCGAGGAGTGGGGAGTGGGGTGAGGGAGTCACGTAGTCCGTCTCGACTCTTGATGTGTATCTTCGAAATAAAG